ATATTAAAAAATCAAAAATATATATTTTTTAAGAATTTTTCGAGCCGACCTGAGCCTGACCGGGTCAAATCCAGAAAATCCTTTAGCCTAAAAATAGAATAATATTTTTTTTCTATCATATATTTATCTAGCTAATAAAAATATGTTGATTACAAAAAAAAAAAAAAAAAAAATGCCACGTAGGCGTCTCTTAACTCACACAAGATCTCTTATATAACATACGTATCTTACAAATAATAATGTTTTTGATTTAAATTTAAATGTTAATTTAGGTAAGATCCTCCTTAAATCCTCCTGATAATAATGGTGGTCTAATGGGTCAAGTCTTGCTGATTTATTTATGTTCATCTACTAGCAATATCATTTCTCATTTCTCTTCTCTCTTTTTGAAAATTAGACTCTCAACTAGACAAGGCCAAAGGTCTCATCAACCAAGATCCTCTGGAAACAGTTAGATAAATGGAAATCAACTTATAATAGAAATGAACTTGTAAATTAAAAGAAATGGTTCCAAAAATTTTTGAAAGAAAACCCCACTCGCTAGACTTCTTCTTCATTTTGGGCTTTAACGGTTAACGGTCTATCTTCACCACACTTGCCACTTATCTTTTCTTCCAGAAGCATTCAGTAGAACAAAAATATTCATCTGAGGTTCCAAGTCTCTTTAAGATGATAGGAAAAATGCAATGCAACTCACACGATCTGCAAAATGGACGAGATATACTATTATTGAGCACCACCTCATATAATTCCTTGACCTTTATTGTGCTTCTTGGCAAGAGCCCTGAAAATTCTCCGAGCACACAATTTGTATGCAAACTTGCCCGGTGATCTTTACACGTGTAGAACCATGTCTTTGGATCGGTTTCTTTTTCACAAATGTCACACCAGAGTTTACCACTTGCCTTTTCTCCATAGCATAGTGAGAGAGGATGATCGTCAACTCTATGCTTAACCACTGGTGGTAGAGTGGCGCAACTGAAGCATAAGGCAAATCTACAATAATCTTCAATGCATCTTAGCACATCATAACCTTTCTTGTTGCAGCCATTGCAAAAAAATACTACATTTGAAGGAGTGTAATATAAGGGATGAGGAGGATAAATAGAATGACTTGGATGGACAAATGGCTCAGAAATTGAACCGCACCGAACATCGAATGTCTTATCCCCATGCTGGTATCTGAATCCATTGGAAATTCTACGGCAAGCGTCACACCAAAAGTAATCAGCCTCGTTAGTAAGTAGAGTAAGACGTTCATTGTGTAGCACATGCCATTTCATTCTAAGAAATCCAGCGCAGTTTTGGTGGAGAAAAAAGTCACAATCCACACAGCCGTAGAAGGATTGGAGACAGATGGGGTGTGTGCATGCGCTGCACCGCTTGTTGTCGTCACAAAGAACACCATTAACGTGGAGTATTAAGTAATGCTCTTTGTGGCTGAAGTGTTGTATTGTGTTTTCATCTATCACCACATATGGCTCTATATCTTGTATTTCTTCAGGTACACCTTCGAGTTCTTTCCCATTCCACACATCTTTTCTAGTAGCACATTTCGAATGAACAACATAGCCGGGAGGACACCTTTGACAAGAAAACCCTCCACAAGTCCAATCAACCTTCTTCCGACAAACTCCACAAACAGAACTGACAACACCAAGAACAGAAGTTCGAGAAACGCGGTGATCATGCCGATTTATGTTAATGAGTCGTGGAAGGTCAAGACAGTCTTGATGGATCATAAAGTCACATTGAACACATATGTAAGGGCTTCGATCCCCACTCAAACCGCAAGCGTTACATGTAAAAGAACGGAGTCTTGGGAGAAGGGTGAGTTGGTGGTCATGAACTTTCAGATTGAGAAGAAATTGTTGTGGAGGATTTATAACACAGCGCAGATCCAAGGTGAAGTTACACGAAGAACAATGATAAAACAATTTATCATCAATCTTTTTACCGCAAAGACGACATGTTCCATCAGAGTAGTCCGGTAGTGGACCTGTGTGGAGCTTAAGAGGGTGCCAGGGGTGGTAAGAGTGATTTACCTCTAAAGGGTGCTTTAGCTCTGACGTATGCCATACGCAATCGATATGGAAGGCTAAATTACATTTATAACATTTGTATGGAAACCCATAACCTGTCTTCCGACATCTAGCACCGCATTGGAACTCGATCGATCTCTCGATAATGGTGAGCTTGTGGGGATGCCTCTCTGAAATGTCAATAACCTTTGGTGGTGGGTACTTGGCACAGTATAGATCCACGTTGAAGTCACAGGACTCACAAGTTCACAACCATAGAATAGATCACAGATGCGCCTTCCACATAAACTGCAGTAGCTACGTCCATTAACTCCAAGCTTGAGAGTGGAATTGCGGTGAGAATGAGATGGATAGTCAAATATATCAGAGGAATCTCCACATTTCTTGTGTACGAAGTAATCGCAGCTTTTGCAATAATAACCATCACTAATAGCTTCCAAGAGTCCACAGCAATCGCCTTTCCTTACATCATTCCAAGGCATCATAAGATGTTCATGGACCAACGGCATTAACACTCCCTCAGAATCCTCCATCGTCGTATACTACTTGAAAGAAGAAAAAAAAGTTGGATCTGAAATCTCAAAGCTAATGTAAGGATATGCTCTTTTCACGTTTCTTTTGTCTCGCAGACTCAAAAAGTCTTCTCTCATTAATCTCAACGATATCAATGCTCTCTGTATAAAAATAATCGTATATTAGACTTTTGGTGTTGGTGGACTTTCATTAGCAATAAAGATAATTAGTATGGTTGTATGATAGTGACAAAAAAAACTAATCATACTTGTATTTAATTAAAACGAACCACTTGTAATGAAACGATAGATCAGCTAAGTCTATACAATGCAGCTAAGTCAAATGCTATCGTATGGTGGTCCTTAAGGCGAAGAAGATACAGTTTACACGATGTTGGATTCATGGTCGTAGTCTTGTAGAGACAGAGAAACAATTAACAAAAAAAAGAGTTTTGTATTTGTGCGAGTCATGTGCTTGTTCGATTATGAGTCAACTAGTATTTAAGTAGTTCTTCACATGTTGTCGTTTGTATCTTTGTTTCCATGTAAATAATTATAGTCTCGAATCTCATTTGCTTACTATCTCTGTATTTCCCCTGTTTTCCTCTGTTTCTACTAACATTACAGCTGGATTTACAAACTCAAGTCAAACTGAATTAGTCATATAGCAGTAAAACTCATACATACACCTTTAGCCAAAAATTGTAAGGAATTATAACTCAGTGGAACTATCTTTCTTTAGCCATTCGATATTTACTACAATTTCCCTAATGGAGACTCAAGAGCATGAGCATCGACTAGCCATAGACCATATTCTTGGAAGCGTTTCATCTTGTTGTCGTAACCGATAATGTAGTTATTATGGATTATGACATGTTTCCCCTTTGTCTCTTTAACCCATGTCTCGTTCCTGAAGTACAATCCTCCTGTTGGGAAAGCTACCTGAGAAAGCAAGTAGAGATCCACCTGATGAACAGAATTACAAGTTATAAACCTTAATATCTTACATTCATAAGCAGTAGATTAGAGAAATTTATGAGTGGATAAATAATAAAACACACCTGATGAGCTGTTCTGTTGAGTGCTAAGTTAAAAGCAGGCTGGTCATTTGCTTTGAAACGGATGGACTCAGACCAAGCTTGGGATTGAAGTTCCTCAATCCATTTCTTCATTAGAAGCTTTGCACCATTAGTGGGACGCAAGTAAATCATGCAGCTACATACATAAGTCTCTCCGTTTTGATCCGGACTTGGTAAATCATGTGAATGATTCAAAGGTTTAATCTGTTGGCACCAAAATCAACCCATAAATAAGATTTTTTTAAAACACATTAAGATTTCCAAAAATGTGTAAAGTCACCACATACTTCAGGCATGTCATCAGTGAAGTACGCATCGTGGCTTCCCTCCAAATACTGAAACGGGTCTTGCAACCAAACCATGTCAACGTCATTGTACATAACATTGTAACCTAGCTCCAAAATGTGTAATAGATGTTGAGGCCTTCGAGCTGTGAAGTTGAAGAAACCCTAAACGTATATGATAGATAAATTAGTTTAAAGAAATGTTTTCATCGAATTAATAAGAAAACTCGAAAAAAGATTCTACCCAAAAAAAAAAAAGAAAAAAACTGGCTGCCACTACATCCACAAGGTTCTATATATATTAACCTAAACCTTATCCAATCCACTACGGACTACTCAACACATATGAGCTCAATGGAGAATGTGGTGGGGATCTAAAGTAATATATGTAATCAATATGGGCTATTATACGTATTAGTGACTGGTTTTGAGTTAGATGCCCATGAAAAATTAACAAAGCCATTTTTGGCTATATCTCATGAACTCAAAACTGCTAAGGACATCTCTATCAAAGATGAAAGGTTAGTTTACCTGGGAACCAAAATTGTGTGCAGTTTTAGAATCAAGCGCTGGAGGAATAAGAACGGCGTGGCCAGGCCACTTCTCGTTGACTTTGTATAGAGTAACGTAATCCTCAGCGATGACGAGGACTTTGTCCTGATGCTTCTGTCTTGAAACACTAATCAACCAGTTGTTGAGAAAAGGCAAGAACGGTGAGCTCACGGCGCAGACGATCACAGTGCCGTTCTTGGCTACAAACTTGGCAGCCTCAGCGAGGGTATAGTCACGCCATTTGGATTTAGCTTGCGGAGACAAAGAAGAAGGACAAGAAGAAGAAGAGACTCTGTTTGGAAACAAGAATAAAGGAGACCCTGGCCAGGGTAAGAACACACCGAGGAGAAGGACGAGAGCTAGAAGGAGAAGGAGGAGGAGAGCGTTGCGGCGGTTTGAGATCATTGAAGAATAAGAACGAGGAGAGGAAGTCAATGGACGTTGGTGTTGGTTCTGCGCCATTGTTGTCACAACAAAAGCTGCTAGAGAATGTTTTGGTTCTTAAATTAATTAACAAGCTCTAGCTCTCATCATCAGATTTTTTCAAGTGGGAAAATATTAATAAGAAAAGAAAAGGTCAACATGTAAATTTTGTAATCACTTTTGCAGCTTTAAGTGATGTGTATAATAATACGCTTGACTTAATAAAATTTACATGACACATAACGTGAACTTCTCCTCCATGACTTTATAAATTATTTAACTAATCAAAAACTAAGTCTGTAAATTTATCAATAATTTGTCGATTTCAGTTTTGGAATGGTTCCATGGAGAAGCCAACTTTGACGCAACGATGGTCACAAAATTCCACGAAGAAGCCAACGTTGACGCAAAGTATAAATATTGGTCTATTCATACTTCTAGGTCAATACTACTTTTCCTATGATTTTGTGTTATTTACACGCAAGAAGAATATATATATATTCATATTATTTTTTATTAAGCTAAATACAAAATATGGAACGTTGACAAAAATTAAAACAATAAATATATTTTATATACAGTATATGGAGCCGAATTACAAAACTGTATTATTTTCCCACCAAAATTAATAAGTTGTTTAAAATAAAATAAAAACATGGCTGCTACTACTACATCTATAAGTGAAACATGGATATACTAAACACATCTCATAATAATTAAGTGAAACTTTAAGGAGTATCACAAACTTATGATACGATAATGAACATCCAATATCTAATTATGATGGAAACCTCTTAAGCATCCAACAGAAAATGATAGGACCAAAAAGGCAAAAAATATTGATCAAATTATTTATTGTTTTGAGTTGGAAACTCATGAAACTTGACAAAACCTGGTAACTTTTTTAGCTATATTTTATGAACTAAAAGCTACATATATCTCAACTATGAAAATCGAGGTTTTTTCTTACTAATAAAAAAGTTTGAATTGGTTTTGAAACTAAAAGCATCTCTATTGATAATAGAGGTAGAGTGTGTTTAATTACATTCATACATTAAATAATAAATTATACTCTTTCCGGTTCAAGTGTCATTCTAGATTTCAAGTTTTGTCTCAAAATAAGTGTTTTTTTGTATTTTCAGTGCAGATGTTTGACAATATTTCCAGTTTTATTTTATTTGTCTTAACGTATCCAGTAATTTTTTTGTATAATACATTAATAAGGGTAATAAAATACATTTAATGGTCTTAATAAGTGTGAAAAAACTTAGAATGATTCTTAAATTGAAACGAAGGGAATAATAAAATTAAAACTATGTAGGATAAAAAATGTCTTAAAAAAAGTCTTTAGTGTCTTTCTCTTCTCTCTCTTCAAAAATATCTTAGATTTATATTTTAAAAAGTTATAAAAGACAGACACAATATAACATATATGAAGATATTCTAAATTGTAGTGGTCTTCACTTGAGCATGAATTTTCATGCAAGTCTATAGTCTAATTTGTAGTGGTCTTGACTTGAGCATGAAACACAGATTGCAGTGGTTTTGACTTGAGCAGGAATTGTCATGCAAGTCTAAACCAAATCTCGATTCTTCTCAAATGCAAAATTTACTAATTATTTTTTTTATTCAGTCAAAATTGTCTACATTTTTGATAAATTCTTTAAATTATTATAAATTATTATTATTTAACCTAAAAACAATAACTAAAATTTGAAAGTTTTAAATCAAATCAAAGACAGATACGTTGCTTAGGTCAATCAAGCCTATCTAGATTGTTATACACAGATTTTAATGTTAAGTATTAATACATGGCATTTTTAACGTAATACAATATTTTTTTATGTGAAAAAAATATTACATGGCACTTTCCTTTGATTTAAAATTTTCAAACAGCAAAACTGAAAAAAATAAAATTTTACATTTCCACATGTATTATATACATTTGATCAAAGTAACTTGTGAAAAAAAAAAAACCGTTATGGCTCCAAATTCTATTTGATTTAGACCACCATTTAGAGTTCGGAAGATTCTCTAAAACGTGTTTAAGATTTGTTATTTACGTAAAATATGTAAATTTTTAAATAACATGCAAAATCTAAATTCTAAAACATGTCCTTTTACGAATGTGAATATGATACGATCTGAATATAAAAAGAAACTTGGACGATAGTCACAATACACACAAAGACTCTACGGTTCATCCTCAGATCAACAACAACCGTGAAGTCGTAAAGCCAGCAGCGTCGAATCAAGATGGTGACTCCACGATCTCATATCCCTGGTTCTCGCTTCGTTCCCTCAGTTTTGGTGCTCCTCGATCGTTATCTACGCCGGAGAAAGGCAGGGGAAAGCTCTAGGTTTATATACGAGATGGATATATACAAGAAAGAACCCTGGCTTCTTCAGCACGTAAGGCACTTTCGATCCAAAAAGAACATGTGGTTTTACTTCGTTACGAGGACAAAGAAAAACAAGAGCCGAGCCGCCGGGGCAGGTACGTGGAAGACGTCTGGTTCTGTGAAGAATATATATAAAGATGGAGTCAAGATCGGAACTACGCAGCTTATAAGCTTCAAGATCAATACCCTTAAGACAGGTTGGGTGATGCACGAGTATATTTTGGACGATCAGCGATTCATACAGGACTCTGATCAGCAAGTGGTTCTGTGTATACTCAAGTTTAAACCGGGTAAAGACGAGACTCTATATGTATATGCTCCAAGACTCGAACCTTTTGTGATTGGACAGCCACAGCCACCGCTTGGGGAAGCAGAGAATCATCAGAATTCCAATGATGTTCATCATGTTGCTGCTGCTGAAGATATTCAACCCTTGGATGCTCCTCCCAAGAACCACTTTGGTTCTTATGGCCAGCTTTTTGAAACATATCAGCAAAACCGTATTCTTGGACTAGTGGAGGGGAATGATCAGCCTTATCGTAATGGAAACATGGCTGAGTACCACAACCAGATTGGGAGAAGAGAGGCTAATGCTTCACACTCGGCTCATGCCGTTGGGTCGCATCAATGGATTAAGTATCCTGGTGCATACTCGGCTCAGCCATACGATCCTTCAAAGCTTCCTATGGAGCTTCAAGAAAAGTACATATTGGCTACTCAACATCAACAGTTTCCAGTGGAGCAATATCAGCAAGGGTTTTCAGCTATGATGAAACAAATCATAGAGGAGCAGCATAACTATAGCCAGCTATACTATCAGAACAATGATCTTTCAGGGGCTTCTATGGCTTCTCAACCAAGATATGGAGGTACCTTGTGCAGCAGCAACCTTGTGCGAGAACAGCATCAACCTTGTGCAAAACCCACGACTCCCAACCTTGTGCATCAGCATTATGGTTATGGAAACATGGCTGAGTACCTTAACCAGTTTGGTAGACAAGAGATGCATCCTCCACTATCGGCTCAAGCCATGGGGGAGCATCAGCCGATTGGAACCTCTGGTCCATACCTGGCTCAAGCATATGACCAAAATCATCACAACGTTGAGAGTTTCAAGGACAAAGAATACGATTACAACCATCTCATAAGTATTTTTGAAGGTTTAGAAGGAGACAAAGATCCCTCACAACTTCCAATGGAGCTTCAAGTACAATATATATTGGGTGGTCAACAACAACACTTCTCAACAGAGCAACAGAAACGACAGATTATTGGACAAGACAGAGATGAACCACAATATTGTCAGCCATATCATCAGAGCAATTATCTATCAGTGGTTCCTATGGAGACTCAACGACAAGGCAATGTGGTCAAAAACTTGTCTTCTCAGCAACAGCTCGAGGAACAAGACAATGTTCCATTGATGCGTATGAATCAATCTACAAAGCCGCCACAGTTGACTAAAGAACAGCAGCAACCTTGTGAACAACCCATTACTCTCGAAGAATTGAAGCAGGAGATGGATCCAGAGATTGCTAGTTTATTATGTGGACTAAACACAACAGCAGAAGAAGCCAGGCTACTGGCTTCATTTGGACTTGTAATTTAGAATTCTATTCGTTTCATTTATTAGTAGAGTATGATGTCTTGCTGCTTAAATAAATATTAATAAAAGTAACCACATTCGTTTCATTTATTAGTAGAGTATGATGTCTTGCTGCTTAAATAAATATTAATAAAAGTAACCACATTCTGGTATCTCATGAACATATTTTTATATATATACTCTGTAAAGTCACAAGAGGAGGCAAAAGTTTAATCAGATCTTAAATATTTCTCAGAGACTGAGAACAAACAACCAGAAAATAAGTAATTGAACTGATGAACAACAGCCAAAATAACAGTTTCTTTTCTTTTCTTTATCTTGGTGATGCTTCACTTCCATCTTGCTTTATCACAGAACATAAAACCTGTCTTGAGATGTAACTTTCAAGCTCCCTAGAGACTTCAGTTAGCTTCAAGTCAAAGTTACTCCTGTACTTTTGTTTCGGCGATGGCACAGTGACAGATGAAGAGCCTGAAAACCTTCTCCTTGGGCTTGAGAATCTTCCTGGTGAAGCCTGAAGCTTTACTGCTGCAGCTGTTGATGGTGTTAACACGGTGTTAGTATTGTCTGGATCTAGCAAAAGTCCAAATTTCGTCTCTAATGGAAGTGGCTTAAGTGAATCTTTTTCAGTCTCGGTAACTGGTTTTGGTTTTCTCAGTCTTTCCTTTGCTTTCTCAGCTGCTTGTAGAGCCTTTTCACTGCTTAAAGTTATCAGTTTCCATGGGTTTATGCTTACATGAAAACCCGGTTTCTTGTTGATCAGCGTGGCAGGTGAATGTTCATCTCCTTCTATTTTTATGGATAGTCTCTGCTGAGTCTGTTAACAACAAAACAGAATCTTTAAGAATCCTTCAGACCAAAAGAGAAAACAAATCCTTTTGACAAAGAGTTAAAGATATAGAATCACCTCATTCGCTTTCCTGCACATAAACTTGGAGATAAACGTCTGTCTTGATCTTTCAGGTGAATCAAAATCAGAGCTTTCATCTGAAGATGAGTCTAATTCATCAAAAGGATCCACTTCTGCAAATTGATTCTCCTCCCTCATCGCTAATATATAGTCATATGTTCTCATCCCCTGCAAATATTTGAGCATTACTTGTCAAGTCAAATTAATTCTGTTGATGGATGAGCTTCATGTCTAGGAGACTATAAGATTTACCTTTCTTATGAGAACTACATGAAAGAGGAAAAGCTGCCCCATGGCAGCCGAGCCATAGGTTGTGAACAAGACCAATATAACCTGTAAGAGCAACAAAACATTACAAAATCATAAGCAAGATGAAGCTGCATTAGATTTCATGAGGAAGAAAGAAAACGTAGAGAACATAAGTGTGAGAAATTATACAGATATTGTAGCAATAGCCCATCTAGGGAACTCTACATAAAGCCTTCTCTTCAGGTCCGTTTCCATCCCTTTCTTGTCCACAAAACATCTGACAAATACGGCAATGGCTGTTCCACCTTCTATAATTAGCTGTTGCAGTAAAAGCAGTCAATATCACTATTTCAATGAACCAGAACTTTTCAGGTTTATGTCTAATAGAGAGAGAAATACTCACCATGAGCAAGACAAAAACCATCATGAGTATAAACGTCGTGTAATTCTTTTTCCCAACGCAGTTATTAAGCCACTGAATACACCAAATACACACAGAGAAAACTTATGTAATCCAAGACAGAACAGCAGTTTCAGAAAGTCAGAAACTAAGATTCCCTAAAAATATTACCCTGCAATGGTGATCAAACCCTTCAACACACCGGTTACATGTCCTGCAATGCTTACTGCTGCGTTTAACCTATATAAAAAAGCAGAAAATCGTCTTAAAAAGTCCTCGTTTTCATGACAGAAGTGGTTGATAATGTGATATTAGTTCACAAAAAAAAGGCAAACCTCTAAATCACAAAGTGAACAATAAGAGATATCATCTTCTTCTTTAGGGTCTGGTGTAACAGAATCATCATCTTTCATAACAAGTGGGAATGGAAGAAGTGGTTCCAGCTGCACACTGCTTTTCCATGGATCCAAATAGGTTCTTCTGAGAAAATTCCTCAAGATCTTCCTCTCTAATCTCCTGAAAAACCTCACAACAACTTGACTCAAAACAACCTTGAATCTCAGCTTCATCAAGACTCCTTTGGATTTAGCTTTTCTCTTTCTCTTAGCACTAGTCTTATCCGTAGGATCAATGGCAGTACACCTAACGAATAAAACAATAACCGAAACCGCCTGACAAGGAAGAATCCTCAATAAAATCAGCACAGAGTTCATCAAGATTCTATTATACAAATAAACAAATCCAACTTCTTGATTCTACTCTTACCACAAAGGAGAAAACCGAAAGAAGCGCGATAATAGCTATTCGATTGCCAACGAAAAACCCGAGGAATACATAAAAGGCTGCCACCAGAACACTAAAAATAACAGCTCCCACAATCTGCACAAAGCTCAATTTTAGTAACCAAAATTAAAAGAAGAGAACCTGCTACGGAATGAATCAAAAGTCAAGATTTTTAAAGAGAATCAGAGTTTGAATCCGGATGACCCATAAATTAGTATTGTTCCAATCACACACAGCTTACACTAGCTAATCAATAAGATTCAGAAACTATCTACACCTATGAAATTCACTGCTCTATGGGTCGCAAAAGATGAAATTGAAACAGATACAGGAAGATATCCAAATAAAGTAAGAAACTTTCTAAAAAGAAGCTGAAAAGTTTGATGGGTTTTGCTCTGAAACCTGTAATGGGTGTAAAGGTCGTTGCCAGCCATGGCGTCGTCTCGTCATGGTAACTCCTAAAGTTTTGATTTTTTTGTTCAGATCTTCTTACGGAAGAGGAAATCTTAAATAAATAACTCAAAAATCTTCATGACTCCATGAGTACACTCCTCTCTCTCAGCCTTGGGAATTTACAGAGACGCTACTAGTTTGGTTTTTATTCAAAGGGCTTTAATAATTAATAATGGAGTTTTTGTGTTTTTACTTTTTAATTTATATTTTTTTGTTATTGTTTTTTTGTTTGTATATTAAGAAGAGGACGACGAGACCAACGGTCGGGTTTTCAAAATTTGAAGTAACGCTCGGCGGATCTTACTTTACTTTACTCATCCGACGACTCTTGATGATGATGATGATCATTCATTGACCACTTTTAACGTGACTATTTTAAAATTGGCCCATTTATGTTTTCTGAAAACGATATATTAGGCCTCAAATAGTCTCTTTTTCTTGGGCCTAAAATAGTCTCTTTTCCTCTGGAATTTTTCTTTTTTCCATCCAACTCAACCGAGAACGTTGATCCATGGGATTTTTCTTTATTCCATCGAATTCAACATATTGGGCCTTAAATTGGCCTCTTTCGCCTTTGAGTCTGAATTTTCTTGATAGATCTTTTTGTGCTCTTTGTATTTTGTACTGTTTTTTATTGATGCTACACACAATTTTGACTGCAGGATTGCTCATATTTATACTTGTAAATGCAAACTGTAACATGATCTGTATAATTTGTATCGTAATGTTGCAGACTAGTATTCTTGTATATGTATTTTTTTGTCTCCTGCTGCAGTATAATTTTCACATCATAGTTTTGTTATTGGAACAGATTCGGTATTGGCTCTTGTTTCCACTTGCTACTTGTGATGTACATTCTGACAATTTTTTTTCTCAGGTTTTAATTTCTTTGAAATAATATGGTTTGTTTGATTGACGATATCGCATTACCGTTCGTTCTTGATGGATGATGTATTTATGGTACATATTCAAAAAAAGTGCATTATTTTGATAGTTGGTAATTCTAGTCTTCTTATCTACTGAGAAGTGGCTCATTGCTTAAATGTGTTGTGATTCTTTTGATATGCAGTATAAATCTGCAATCTTGTAATATGATTTGGACAAGAGATTAAACGGAGGAGGGGTCACTCTGGCGAGATCTCCAGAGAACCCGTCATCTGTACCAAAAACACCGAGCGAGCCGCTTAGTAAATGTGAAGGGAACATGACAACACCGGGAAGCTACAGTGGAATGCATGAAGTCACGACAACAACAGTAGAAAGTACAATACCTATATAATATATATAGTAATATTTTTGATAGCATTAAGCTGAATGAACTAGAAATTTTACAGGCGGCGGCTGGAGTCACGACAACAACAGTAGAAATTGTACAGTACCTAATATTTTCGAAAGCTTTAAGCTGAATGAATTAAAAATTTTACAAGCGGCAACAGGGGAATTTGGGGACTATATATGATATATGGGTGTTGAATTGATATATGGAGTTGTAATGTCGTTGGATTGTGGGGGGTTTTGTCTCGTTAAAAACTTTAGTCGGTAGTTACTTAACTTGTCGTTGATATATATAGTACGTACGTACTTACCATTTTGGTTTTCACAATTGTTTTATTTGATATTATTAGAGTATATGAGAGAATGGTTTACTTTAAACCATGTGTGATTGTAATCTGGTCATAAACCAGAGTAAACCGGTTAGCTCCACACATATAAGTGGAATGTAATTTATGACCAGATTACAATCACACATGGTTTAAAGTAAACCATTCTCTCATATACTCTAATAGATATCTCTCTCGACACCCTATTCAGTTGAGATACAAAAATGTTACTCATCTTATATTTACTTACAATGTTATATATAAATAATATACATCAACGTGTTCTTTTAACATTACAAATATTTAAGGTATTATATCATGTATAGATGCATATACAGATCGGTATCATTCTTAAGAACTAGGAAACCAAACCTACACCTCTCATTCTTTCAACGTAGAAGAAGAAAACAAAAAACAACAATACAATAGCCAAAATCGAGTCCTGTAAAAAAAACCTAGAAGAGCTCTCTCCCTCCATATCCATTTTGACCATATTTATATATATATATATATATATATATAATGTACACCAGCAAATTTAATAATACGCATAATATATAATATATGTGTGTGTAATAATAATAATAATAAGATAACATATTTAATAATAATGGTACTAAATTGGTTTAGTTAGTAGAGAAAGTGGTGCAAGACTGAGGAAGCTGTGGCGAATCTCCGTTACTACTAGCTCCATCAACCTTGTTATTATTAATATCATTATTGTCGTTATTACCTCCTCCGATAATGTTTGAGATCGCAGCCGCAAGCGCCGCCGTGAAATTCGGATCCATCGCGATCGCAGCCCTTACTGAATCGACCATGTCACGTGGTAGTGCTGCTTGTGGACCCAACAGATTAGGTAATAATAACTGCGCATTATTATTATTATTATTATTATTGATAGACCTAATCTGATTAGCGTTTGGTAAGAACGCTGCGGGACCATACTGGCTCAGAAACTGCTGCGGTGGTTGTAGCGGTCGAGGAGGGTTGGTGAGGTCTAAGGTTATAGTGGGGAAAGGAGCGGATGCGGAGAGTGTGGCGATCGTGGAGGTGTATGGGAAGTTATGGTAGAATGAAGATGATGATGCGGCGGAGGGGCTAGAGAGAGTCTGGTGGATGTTGCTTGTGCTGGAGCCGGATAAGAGCATTGCGGCTGCGGCTGAGGTGGTTGCGGCCATGGCTGTCGCTGACGGTGGAAGTGGATGGTTATGGTTTCCTTCGTACGTTGTTGTCAAAATAGTTGTATCCTCTGCGCATCGTTGGACCTATTTACATCCAAATAAGCTAATTATATAATTTTGTTACGTAAAAAACGATCGAGTATTTATTAACAAACAATATGTCTCACTCTACTTTTAAGTTATTCAAAAATAACAATATACACTATTTTGTTACCAAGTGGATTTAGTAAAGCCTTCCTAAATTTGGAATTAATTTATGTAATCTTCTTTAAAACTTTCTAAATTGCGTACACTTTTATAAGTTGACAAGGATATGTGACTTATTGTTAGCGTTGTCATTGTATCAGTTTTTAAGATTTATATCCGCATGATACATATTATTGACCCCCAAAAATAAAACTTTATAGATTAATATATACAAAATTTTAACATCAAATAATTTTTATTTCCAGTGTTTTTTTGGTATAATATATATAGTAAAAAATTATCAATACTAACCTGTTTACGAACAGGGCAACCAATAGCCATGGTGCAACGATAGTAAGCGCGAGGACATGGATTTCCTTTGGCCATTTTCTGACCATATTTTCTCCATTGACATCCGTCATTTACCTATTAATATAAGTTACAAATTTAGTTTAATTTTTCTTACTCATATGTATATGTTAAGAAAAAATAATAATTAGTAACATACATGTACGTAGAGTTAGAAAGTTACCGTAGTGGCATCAGATCTAGCTCTAACGGAAACCCTAGCTTTTCTAAAGGGTAACTGATCATGAGGGTTTTGTTGTTCTTCATGATTTGCACTCTTGTTTTGGTCTAATCTTGGAGTTTTTGGTGATCCTCGGTGCATATCATCACGATCATCCTCATCTTCCGGTGACAATCGTTTCAAGGTGGTGGCTGAAATTTCATTGTTCATATGCTTTGGTCTTCTGTCCTCTAGAGCTTGTGACGAACCAGCTTGAGTTGTATCCTTTTCAACAAACAAAAATAATAATAAGGAAATGTATTTCGTATGAAAATTGAAAGTAAATTCACCCAAAAAATTATAGCTATTGACTCACGATTACACAAATACAAGATACACAAACAAACACATATGTATAGACAATTGATAACCTACCACATACATATGTATTCACCTATAGACATATTCAAATATTGAAAATCTAAGGCAAAGACTCGTATGATACAAAATTGTCGACAGAAGAAAATGTGATGCATATAGAGGAACGTACCTAACTATAATTGAAGATTTTTTAAGTTTGAAATATCTCCGAACAAAATACAAAATTTAATTCTCCATTTAATATTTAGTTGTAGAGAATACAAAAAAAATATTTTTGTCAACAAAACTAATGAGGTACTTGACCGAGTCATTTGTGTATATTTCTTCATGTTATATCAATTTAAAAGCTGTATTTATTTAGTTTGCTTATGGCTTTTAAAATCTAGGCAGTATTATTAGGTAGGGATGAAAAAACTTAATACATAACCGAACTACATCAATTAGATACCCAAATATCATACTGTAATTTATTTGTGACATATTGAATTATTGAAACTAATCTATAATATTATATATTTTGCTGTACTTATCATTTATCAAGTACCTCATTAGTTTTGTTGACAAAAAAAAAAAAAAGGTGTACCTCATGTTGTTTATGAAGACCTTCCACTTGTGTCTGTCTCACCAACAAAACTCTTCTTTGGAGGTCGTTGTAACTCTGACTGATCTCATCTAATAAATGCCTCAGCTTGTGATTCTCCTCGTGGAGCCTCTCTAGCTCCAATTTCAGCCTAATAATCTGCAAATTGTTAAAATCAAACAACTCACTTATTAACAACGTCCTACAATTTTGTATATATGACAATTGACAAGAAAAAGAAAATTGTGTATATACATAAATGAAAAAGCGCATTTATACACTCAACATGATAAGATAATAATATTCAAAGAATACAACAAAGATTTACTATCTGATTAGTTTACCAATACAAATTGTTTGGATATAATTAAGTACTGAATTATTCTTACTACAAATTAAAAACTGAAACTATGTTAACCAAAATAAACCCTGGAATTATATCGAAGGATGAAATTAACAACTCAGAAACACTTACTTGGGTTTTGGTTTTGGTTTTGTCGTCGCCATCATCGCTTGATGTTCCATGACATAAATTTACCATACCCAAGTTATCCTAATTAATATGCAACGAAAATTTTATGTAATGAATTTACTAACTCCCAAAACATACATATATATTTATTTATATATATATCTAATAATCATCTAAAACCTTACATTAAAACCGGAAGATCCAACGATGATCGTCGTTCTCACTTGGCCAATATCATCGTACGGCTGACTTTTAGGTGAGAAGAAATCAACTTCTTTGATAGAGGACGACTCATCGTGAAGATGTTCCTCGGAAGACTCGTCTGGTTGATGATCTTTAGAGTCGAAATCTCCCCGGGGAAATTCTCCGGAGTGCAAGAAAGCAATTTCACGAGGATCTTGAGTATGTTCATCCATTTGCAGACAAAAGAAAGAGATAGAGATTGAGATAGAGAGATAGGTAGAGAGAAAGAAGAAAAATAAAATAAAAAAGGAAAGAGTCGCAATATATAAAGACTAAAATTTATGATAGAGGACAATGATCGAAGTTGTGTAAAGTCTTAGCTAAAGGTGTCTTTATTTTCAACGAGAAATCACTCTTTTGTCAAATGTTACACATTTTTTTTTTAAATGATCACCAAGCAACAATTTTATTATTTAGTTGGTTGGTAATTTTTAGAATTCATGATGATTTATTTTATACTACTAATTAACTAATCACATAAATTATGCGTAAATTTATCTAGTCGTTCTTATATATAGTAGTATATAATAAAAAGAAAAACCTAAAATGAAAATTGTGGGAGCTATATTCTTAATTTCTTATATATATAATGTTTAAATGACGTGTTGAGATTTTTTTTATGATAAGAGTATGAGTCTGACTCTTTCTCTTAACCTTTAAAATAAATATAAGAAGACAGACGAACGATCGTGAGAGTTGTGGTTCGTAAATGTCAGATTTGATCTCAATATTATTTATATATGTCGTTATTGTTATTTTGGTTTCTTTCTAGTTTTTTTTTTTTATAAACAGTTTTGGAAGGTTAATCTATTGAAATGAAAGGTTGTCCAAATAATAATTAAAAAATGAAGACAATTAGGGATATATGACGTCAGAGATGTAGACGTGGAAAAATACAAAAGGGTAAGATCGAAATCATGACGTGTAAAATCGTATCCGTGAAGGTAGCCGTTAAGGAGAAAGTTGACGGAGAAAAAGACAAGAAGCGTTGTCTTGGAAGTCAACGGAGTTGACGGCACGGCATAACGGTGGCACTATCGGACGGTGAGGAAACGAATCATATATATAACAAAACTTTGAAAGACCATTTCCATTGAAAGCTATTACTACTAAAGTAAGGAGAAAATTATAGCCAATAACATGAACAGTGTCAAAACTTTTTCCCAATGCCACATCTGTTGTTTTGTTTTCTCACATGCCACAAAGGCAATATTAAATGACAGTTTTATCCTCAGCAGTCAACATCTTAAATTTGTTAAAGCTGATGAGATATTGTTGATGTCTGACAAAAAGTTTTTGCCTTTATATAATTAAAAATAATTTTTTTTTTTGTGTACGATTCATCTTCTTCCAAGCTTCTGTTCTTCCAAACCTCAGTTCAAGTTCATCTTCTTCTAAACCTCAGCTCAAGTTCATATTTTTCCAAACCTTTGTTATTTGCACACAAATTAATCCTACCCCCTTTTACTTCAGATCTCATGGATGCTTGACCACATCCTGCAGCGTTTCCAATCGACATCGGTGAACATGGAGGCGACAGTCTTGAATCACCACACGCCAGAATTTCTTCGTTTCCGGCCGAGTTTCTCGAATAACGCAGGTGGAGTTGTCCATCGGACACCGTGAATGTATATTTTTATAAACCAGATCTATACCAAATTATGTCCATGAGTTTTTTTTGTCCATCGTAAGTCGTCTGTTGATATTTATTCTATAGATTGTTCATCGAATCAACAGAACAAAGTTGTCCATTAGTTAGTTCAATAGACAATCCTCGTCAGACCAAGTAAACTATGAGATGGACGATTTATATTTTTGTGAGATGTTCTACATTCGTCCAGTTTATGTTTTTATAGACCAGATCTATACCAAATTGTGTCCATGAGTTTTTTTGTCCATCGTAAGTCGTCCTCTGACATTTATTCTAGAGATTGTTCATCGGATCTACAGAATAAAGTTGTCCATCAGTTAGTCCAATAGACAATCCTCCTCAGCCTAGGTAAACTATGAGATGGACCATTTATATTTTTGTGAGATTTTCTACTATTTGTCCTTTCCTTTTGTTATTTATTGATGGACAAATTTTGATCTTTAGGATCTCTATATGACGACACAACATAGCAAAGGACAACATAGCAATGGACAACCAAAAATGTGTTTTTCTCATTTTTCAGCACCGACCACTTCCAGAAAATCTCTGTTACTTGTCCTCCATTAATACTCATCGAAATCTGTTTTTTACTTGTTTTCCATTAAATCTCAGACCTATATCACCCATTAAAAATTATCCTCTGGATATTAACATACATTAACCCCATTAAATGCTACTTTTTGCTGTCAGATAAAATATCCCATCCCTTTTATTTTTTTTTAAACTAAAAACAAAATCTCTACTAAATGGATAAGGGCAATTCTGTCTTTTTGAATACCTATTATGGCACTCCATAAAATATTTAACAGAAAGTGGCAGTTTTAATTTTTTGAGTTTTAAAAGTGGCATAGAATATAAAATTCCCCTAAAGTAAGTACTAACCAAGTCTTTCAACATTTTATATATATTATCACATACAGTTCTTTATATTTGATTTACTAACAATAATAGTAATCCAAATTTTTGTTAAATCTGTCATCGTCAACGAGCTCAGAGAAGACCGTCGTGCAAGGTCATTAGAAATTTATTTATATGATGATTTGTTTCAGATTTAGATTTGATATCTCTCTCTCTCTTGATTCGTTTTCTCCAACTTTTTTTTTTTTTGATTATATATTTACTGATTGGAAATTCAGATATTTATGAGTTTTATATTTTGATGGCTTATGATATTGTTAGTATTATGTATTTTCATAATATCTTAATCCATTTTCACACCTAGTATAAAAGATGTGTTAAGTTATACTAGAATAACTATTTACTAATTAGGTTAGATGGTTTTTATAAAGTAACTTAGTTAATGAGAACTTTTACTGATTAAGTTCTTTTGGAATTTTTGTTTAGTTTAAGATATGTAAACCTAAGATGAAGAACTTTCTTTTTTTTTTTTTTTTCTGGAAATTGACATACAATATCTTTAGTTTTAGATCAAAATAAAATAGAAATTACTAGACCAGATTTGGATCATCCTAAAGGCTACTGGCGCTAAAATTTTTTCTGGGATGAAACTTTTGTTTTTTCTCAGATATATCATTCAATAAATATATATAGATATATCATTCAATAAATATATATAGATATAGGATTTTGATATATTTAATGAAAGAAAATTCCAAATTTATTTTTAAAATGTTGATTTAGTAGTACTCATAAGACAGAAATATAATTATAAAATGTATGATATATAAATTTTAGGCCTATTTAATATAGTGTGGAAATTTTATAAACGATGTTTAACTCATTTATAATGAAACTGAAGGAAATTTCAAACAATATGGAAAAGGAAAATAAAGGAATTTGACTGTTTCCTATTGGTTGACGTATTGAATGCTTACACATAATTGAAATATTCATTTTTGATGTTCAACATCGCTTTTTAATTTCAAAATCATTATTTATAAAAAATTTAATACAAGTATAAAATTTCAAATAATTACATGATAAACTGACTTTTGTCTCTTTTCGTTACACGTTTCTACTCGTCGACCATTCTCTTTGTGATTAGAAGAAGAAAATAATGTATTACTAGATTTGGAGCCGCACGTACGTGCGGGATTGATTTTTAAAATAAAATTTGTTATTAATTTTTAAATATATTGCATTCCTACAGGGTATGTTTGTAAACGTAACTTTTAGGAATGATATTAATATTTATAATCAAAACCCGTACCAGTTTAATATTTGATTTGTTTTTAAATCACCTTAAACAAAAAAAGAACGATACAATTTTGTTTTGGACAGATGTACACTAAAAAAAATAGTAAAAAAATGTGGTTTGTATATTTCGAGACAGAAATCATGACCCGTGCGTCCTAATATGTCATGTACTCATGTTTTTCCATCTCATAACTATTTTAATAATAATTTACTCTTTAAGATGGTATATTTTTTCGAACATATAAGAAAATAAGTTAACGATTTAAAGTAACACATAAATGTGGGGTTTTATTTGTAGATATATTTATTCTCTATAGCGTTTATAACATAAACTAATATTGGTTTGCTTTCATGAAATTTGTGAATGTCAGATCGACATGATAGCGGATCCAGATTGAGTGTGAACTGTGAGCTACAAACATGATTTAAACAATGATAATAAATTAAAACATTTGCCCCCGGATGGTCTAAATATATTTTTCAATGGGTCAAACACGTTCCTATGCATGCTCCACACTAAAAATATTTTTAACTCAATATAGATTAAAATAATTTGACCCGCAAAAAACAAATTTCCTGTAATCCAGATTAGTAAATAGTATGTCCGCATATGTTTTTCTTGAATTCACGTTAGCTAAATTTTTTGTCCCATAATCTATCATGAATAGTTTAGTTGATATTTTGATGTATCAAATTACATGTACCCGATATTTCATGTTTTGAAATATATTATTAAAATTAGAAAGTTAAAAGTGAATTTAACAATTCAAATTCATATTCATGTATCATACTTGTTATCTGATATTTGAACATTGAAATTGAATTTATCTAAAGTAAAATTTAAAGTGACTTGAGTTTTCTTTAGGAAGTTCGTATTATTTTTAAAACTTGTTAAAATAACTTATAGAAACTGAAGTATTAAAATATTAAAATATGTTTTAAATGATGTATATTTATCTATAACATTAATTGTTTTAGACAAATAGGAGATTGTCTAAAATGTTTATAGTTTACAAATTAAAAAGATAGAAAACTATTGAAAAATTTACTAAGGATTGTAAGTGTGAAACTATATATTATTTTTAAGCTAAACCTAATTACTATTATCAGTATATGGACTATTTTAATACTCCATCTATTTCATTTTAAGTTATGTTTAAGGTTGTTTCACCAGATTAGGAAAACATATAATTTTTTTTCCATAAAAATTCCATTAAATACAATGAATTCAACCAATAAGAAAATATGATATAATAATGATTGGTCAAAATCTATTAAATACATTAAAGATTTGCATAGAAAATTGAAAACATCACTTAAATTGAAAAAAAAAATTTGAAGGTTAAAACATCACTTAAAATGAAACTGAGGGAGTAGTTTTTTTTTTAATTGCATTCGTAATTGTTTT